AAGGACTGGCTTGTGTTGGTCCCACACGACTCCCTGGCTGGGGTCCGAGAGATGGTGCTACACAGTGGCTAGAGACGTTATCAGATATGGCTCAGAATAGAAGCCAGTGGCGATCCTGCTGTAATTTTCTTTTGCTTTCTTCATAAAAAGTGGTTGTCTTCTTTAACTGAAAGATTTCTTCTGATTGTACCTTTCTGCTCCTCATTTTTACCATTATTATTATTACACCACCCTACATCAATCTTTTTGTAATTATTCTCTCTTTTTTTCCTTCGCCGTAAATTCTCATTGTTTTGTGTGGCGCATATATAGTTGGCGCATTCTTGTACCAATACAGGTTTGAAGCTGTGTTGAAACTCCGAGAAAATGTGTTTCACGAGGAGGCCGTTTCGAGGCTTATCAGTAACTATGCTCTTCCTCATTGGTACCTCTTTTATGTAATGGTACATTTATCCATTTAGAGTCAGAATGTAGTTTACCCCTGGCTAAAGAATCTAAGAAACGAGTATGAAAATGGAAGGTAATAAGGTTGGCGTATTCTCAACGGGTTGCTAGTTCAATGCTTATTCAAAGGTCTTGGAATATCTTTGAATTTTAGAAGTTTGAACTTTGAAAAGTGTAATGCGAAGAGTATTTCTGGACAGAAGTATTACAAACCGGAGGTCATCGGATTGAAATTTCTCAGCTGGCAACCAATTAACCAAAATATTACAGCTATATGTTCTTAAGAAATCTAGATCCAGGATAGTTGACGTGGTATATGGCATCTTCATAAAGTTGTATAAAGAACTATATTTATTTTCTACAGAATACATAGGACGAGAGTGATGATTTGTTCTACCCCCATATATATTTTGAGTTCAAGAATTACTTAAAACCCTGTATGGCCAGTCGTCTGTGCAACTGGAAGTAAGCCATTCTTTTCAGAAAACATGCCTGTTCCTGATAAGTCCGTGAGAAGCAAAATTTTAGGCAGTTGGATTATCTTGGGGTTTACGTTTATCACCAGTCGAGGAGGTTAGCGATCTGCGGAGCGTAGGACGTTTTTAAGAGGAGCCCGCCGTTCGCCAACCCTTTGAGGCTTTCTCTAACAGCAGTGTAACCAGTTTAGCGAATGATTTTCTATGTAGTCCATTCATCAGATGAACCACTTCCAGTGAGGCAGAATGGTGTGGGGGAATTATCATTTTGAAATAAGAGGTTCATTACTAGCCGATCACTAAATTTCGATGAGTGATTGATGAAGATGTGATACAGTTTAGTAACGGTTCGTTAGGTTCCTCCTAGATATACTGGACTATTATTCTTGAAAATTTGAACTTTTATTTCTGGTACTTAATATGATATTAATCATCTGAAGATCCTGATCTAAAGAGAGGGGATTTACAAATCTAAATCACCCATTGATAATTTCTCGGAGAAATTTATTTCCAGAGCTCCTCTGTGTGCCTGAAGGAATGAACTAATCCGAAAGTAACAGTCTCCAGGTAATCTAAAAACTACACCTATCGGTCAAGAACTGTAAGTACTCTTTAAACTATACCTTAAGGTATGAGAGTGACTTATCCTAGGAGATAAGATTTTGTGAGTCTCGAGAGAGGTAGGTCTGTAAAATAAGGCCGACAACTAAAAGTGTCAGATCTATATTTAAGTAGCGGCCAGAAAGCGTCGAGAGATAGTTTGCCTTTTGTGATATCACTAGTAAGCCAAGTTTCTCCGAAAGGCATTATACTTGCTCTATTCATTTACTAATTTTCCAACTTTAACCTACTTACATTATGGCGTGAGCAGATAGTAGGATAGGATGAAATTCAGAGTTGGACAAATATGAGGCTATTCACACCGGGAAGGGTGTCGGTAATTGCCAAATCGGCCTTTAGCGGGTTGGTTTCAATGGGTGTATCGTGGTGTTGAGGTTCCATTGATCATTGTGAGTTGTGACAATCAAGCCGGGGTCATCGGAAGTAACTGGAAAGAAGTAGATGTCGAGCTCCTTGATAGTGAGTTGTTCACTAAGAATTTGCGGGATGGATGGGGGAACTCTTTTTAGCTTTACGATAAGTTACCTGGTAAGTCTCAGTCTGCCCCCACGAATCACAAGGACTTTCGAGAATGTTCGAGATTTATCATACCAAAATTCATGCGTGGCTGTCACTGTATGAGGAGTGTCTACTGTTATGTTGAATCAGCCAGATATTGGGCAGGATAATCTGTTCGAAATGGACCACCATCGGTCTACCTCAGGAATCAGGCTAACTTCAATAGATTTAGTTAAAAATGCAGAGTCCTTCTGCACTATAATTAAACATTTTCAGCACCCTTTGTTCAAGCAAGAATGACACCTGAGTGGTCACACAACTGACTATGGTTCATCAGGTTGCATCCTAATGGTAGAGTTCGCTTGTAGATAATAAATGGGTACTCTGAAGTATCAAGTCTATCTAATATGGTTTTAAATTCCATACACTGATATCGGAAACACTTCTGAAGATAGACTATTGAGGGTCAGACACTTAACTGTATGTTGGCCTTCCTGACTACAGCTGATGAAATCCCCATCACAGGAAGGCTAATTATACTGAACAGAAATGCTTTAGAATGTCAGGTTACTCCTCTTACTTTTTCTTTGCGATTGGGACATTGAGCCTGAAAAATTTGGGATTAGTTTTCAGTATACCCGGGAAGAGATTTGAGAGCTGATGAGTTCGACTAACATCTTCAAAAATGAAATCACATAAGCTAGAACTGGTTTTTGTACCAATTTTTGATCCTCCAATATAAACATGAGTACAAGTCCTCGTGGAATGAACCTTGCAATTACTCCATATAGTTCCCTGGAAGCTAAGAGGTATAACAGAAGCGGCACACAGTGGCCGAAATGTGAGTACGTTGTCTGAGTGCAGATCATCCACCAAACTAGTTTATTAGATGAGGCTTAACTAAGCTCTTTGGCATAATGCACGAAGTCATTTGAAGCCACTTGTATCTAATTATATCAGAACACAAACTTTGTGCCTATTTACTAGAGTTCTAAGATAAAAACCTATTTATATTAAAAATACAAAGTACTTTAATAGTTCAAAGTTGCCCTGGCGCAAATAGCGTCTAAGAATCTACAGGAATACTTTCAGCAAAACTTGATAAGTTGTACAAAACGGGTTCAAGAGAAGAATATTTAGAAATGGAAAGTTACGGTTATACGAATCATGATCAGAACTTAAAACTTAGGGAAAGGCGAACGATTGATAATTCTTTTACGCAATGAGGTCGTTTGAAATACAGACCTAGATTCAAGGAGCAGGAACTGCTAGAAAGGTCTTTATAGCATACTGCACAGATGACGTTACCAAATGGCGTTTATTTGTGAATATGCATAAACGAAGTATTACTGCCTTGAACTGCGATAACGTTTATTTATCTGAATGAGTTTTTTTAGGCAAAGAGGACCACTTGCTAGTGATTGCAGGAAATATATGAATATATGAAGCAATCACTAAGTGATTAGTGCTCATCATGTATAACTCTCAGAACATTCAATTTCGTTATCCCTAGATCCGAAATTAAATATTGATGCCCTTCTACTAGTTATCGCTGGTTACACAGTTATTTTCGACTAAATCAAATTTTAGTCAAATAATATGACATATATACAATATATTTGAATTCGAATGATATGAAGTTAAATCATAGCCCTACACTCTTGTAGGGTCACTGCGTCCAGACCAAATCATCCAGTAAACTTAGACAATTCTAGGCTGGATATCTGAAACTGTACAAACATCTTTAAGATCGAGAGCAACCAACGCGGATTAGTCAGTTGCACGTCATAGGCTGGGAAATACGGCAGTAACATTACTCTCTGCTACATTAATCTGTTCTTACTAATACGTACTTGTGTTCTGTTAAGGTTCTACCTGTTATAGGCAGTCAACAAAAGAGCTGGTTAACCTGATTTTTGCGGCAGGATCTCCCATACTATGCACTAACTCCGAGATGTAACATTGATGTAGGAAACGACTTGATCCTATTTCTCTTCAGTGGTGACTTACACTCTATTGTAAGTAGTTTTCATGCCTCTAGGTAACCCTCGTGCTATCGATAGAAGAAACCAGACAAGTAGTAAATAGGTCTTTATTTAGATCTTCGCAGTCACAGTGGAGCGTGGGATTGTTTGTTCAGACAAGCAAAGCCTCTCAACATTCAATATAAGATAATAGGAAATATAACGCTTATACAAAATAAGGAAGTGAATGAATACTTGAACTCTACTGTTTTGACATATGCTTAGTTGTTGCAGGTGAACTCTTAACCAACCAATCTAAGCTGTTACATAGTATGAAAGACTGGTTATATTACTCCTTATAAGACGAAATTCTTATGTTGATTATAAGAACTTTGACTAAATAACTAACTGATTGTAAATTTACCTTTTCATTTCCTAAGATAGAAAATTTGAATAAATATTAGGGGCACTGATAATTTGCCAGTAGTGAACATTTAATTACGCGCATAAATATAATGATATAGCCAAGATTCAATTCATTCAATCAAAAAAGATGTACGTTGATACTGATGAGATGTGTTTCGAATATATACAACTCATTCTTATTGTGATAAAGCTTATGTAGCATCCCTGCATAAATATAATCTGCTTATTGTAATAATTTCCATTCCAGCGGCTTAGCAAAATGTTGTTAGTTTTAAGTTTTCTTTAATTTAAAATTGGTAATTTTCCGCTGTTTTTAGCGCGATGGCCGTCCAGTACTTCCAAGTTTTCCATGGTGGTCTAGCTTTAATTCACTCATGAACTCAACTATTAAATTAATACAATCTTCACAAAATCCCTTCTCAATAAAATGATGTGTAAAAAACGAGCTGAAAAGTCCTCTTAAAAAGGACATACTTTATTACTGTAATAGTATACCAACAGTTGTCGTTTACAGGAGTTTACGCATATAGAAAATACAAAGTGGGTCTCAGTGTTTTTGTTAAATACAGTATTAAGGTTGACATTTACAGTTACAGCGATAACGACCATAAGGACCCATTTGTAATTTTCTAGTTACTGTAATTGGCTTTCTCGTTGCTGTTGTGGTTGTTGTGGTTATTGGAGGAGGATGAGGACAAGGATCAATTTTATTGTCTTCATATGGCCGTGACGTTTGCACATCACCCCTGAAATGATCAAAAATGGTGGGTTTTTTAAAAAAGCACAAAATCAAAATTATTGCACTAAATAAACAAATTGCCTGTCATTTTCTGTAATTAATAGATACCATATCTTATGTAAATTCTATTGAGGAGAGGTGCCTGACTGATATGAGAAGTAATGACTCCAATCGATTAATTAATCGTGACATATAATCGCAGTTAGATAGATTTGTTGGTTATAGATGGTTAATTGTATGATATGGCAAATAATTGAAAAGCATTATTTTATACTGGTACTATGACCAGTTTGTACTAAATGGGCCAATATCGAGCTGTTTACTTTCTTCACCACACCTTCGCTTCACCACGCTGAGAGGTGTCCACAAGCACGAAAATGTCAATTCCTAGAAGCTTGAGCAATATAACTTGTTTCATAGGAGCAGTCAATCTGATAAATACAAAATGAGGTGATCATTCAACAATATTCTTTGTTCAAATATTAGTCTTTTAATATGATGGAAATCATTGAACGATAATTTATTGTAAGGTTTTATTCAATGCAATCTCTAAATATTTATCCATTAAATTTATAAACAGAAGTTGCTTATAAGATGTGCGTTGCACATTCTATTCACAGACAGACGGACTCAGATCTCTTCTCCATTGTTTGGTATATATATAACTCCGCCCGACAAGAAGAAATACGTGGAAGAACTAGAAAGAGAAGGAAATATGAAACAGTTTTATGATACAATGAAGAAACTTGCAGGGGAATATAGTAAACCAGAGAGACCGGTCAAAGACAAAGAAGACAGGCAAATCACTGAAATTCAACAACAGCGGAACAGATGGGTAGAATACTTCGAGGAACTCCTGAATAGGCCGGCTTTAATGAATCCACCGGGCATCGAAGGAGCACACACAGATCTTCCTATAGATGTCAACCCACCAACGACGGAAGAAATTAGAGTGGCCGTCAGACAAATTAAGAGCGGGAATGCAGCAGGACCCGACAACATACCAGCTGAAGCACTGAAGTCAGATATCGAAGTAACTACAAACATGCTTTATCTTCTATTCAAAAAGCTTCGGGAGGAGGAACAAGTGCCGATGGACTTAGAAGAATGACATCTCATCAAGATTCCAAAGAAAGTAGATCTGAGCAAATGTGAAAACTACAGAGGCATTACACTGCTGTCAATATCAGGGAAAGTTTTTAACAGAGTGTTGATGAACAGGATGAAAGATGCAGTAGACGCCCAACTTCGAGATCAACAAGCTGGATTCCGTAAGAATCGGTCGTGCAAAGACCAAATTGCAACATTGCGGATCATCGTCGAACAATCAATTGAGTGGAACTCGTAACTGTACATCAACTTCATTGATTATGAAAAGGCATTTGACAGTGTGGATAGGAGGACGTTATGGAAACTTCCTCGACTCTACAGAGTTCCTGAACTCCGGAACTCGTACGACAGACTACAATGCAAAGTCGTGCATGGAGGACAGCTGACACATGCATTCCAAGTAAGGACCGGAGTCAGACAAGGCTGTTTACTCTCTCCCTTCCTCTTTCTTCTGGTGTTCGACTGGATTATGAAGACCTCGACGTCTGAGGGAAAACGCGGCATACAATGGACAGCTCAGAACCAATTAGACGATTCGGACTTCGCAGATGACCTAGCCCTCCTATCACGTACACACGAACAAATGCAGATAAATACAGCCAGTGTATCAGCAGTCTCTGCATCAGTAGGCTTCAACATACACAAGGGGAAGCATCATCGATCATCTGACGCAGACGTAAAGGCGAGGATTGGAAAAGCAAGGGCCGCATTCCTACAATTGAATAACATATGGAACTGAAAACAATTTTCAACCAATATCAAAGTGAGAATCTTCAATACGAATGTCAAGGCAGTTCTACTGTACGGAGCTGAAACTTGGAGAACTACAACCATCATCAAGAAGGTACAAGTATTTATAAATAACTGTCTTCGCAAGATACTCAACATCTATTGGCCGGATATCATCGGCAACAGCCTTTTGTAGGAGAGAACAAACCAGTTTCCAGCTGAAGAAGAAATTAGGAAAAGACGATGGAAATGGATAGGACATACATTACGCATATCATTTAACTGCATCACGAGACAAGCCCTAACTCAGAATCTTAAAGGGAAGCGGAAAAGAGGAAGGCTTAAGAACACATTACGTCGGAAATAGAAGCAGATATGAAAACCATGAACAACAACTGGAAGGAGCTGGAAAGGATTGCCCAGAACAGGGTTGGATGGAGAATGCTGGTGAGCGGCCTATGCTCCTTCACGAGGAGTAACAGGCGTAAGTATATATATATATATATATATATATATTCACTGAATACCCCATCAATTCATTTTTCATTAAAATAATCCATTGTGTCATTGAATAATACAGGAGCATTTTATCAACTAAAGATATATCGCTCCAAAGAAGTCTTCTTTTAAAATAATCTACACAGTCAAAGGAATTGGATCGGAGGAAAGTTGAATCAAAATCCTATGCACTACTGAGGCACTGGCAACTCATCAACTCAAGCCCGAACTTTCCATGCAAAAATGATATGCCCAACCTCTCATCCTTCCTTGGTAATAATTCCCTTTTGTAGTAAATTTCGGATTTTTTTGTTTATTCCATTTTTTCATCATTATTGATTTTTCAAATTAGTGTTTTGTAACTTTCAATTGTAATCAGTTATTATTGTTGCCCGTTAAACGAGTTATCTTGATTATTATTCAGCTTTTATTATTATTATGACCTTTATGAAAAAACCTTTACATATCTGGGTAGCATCATTGATGAACACGGTGGATCTGATTCAGATATGAAGGCGCAGATCGGTCAAGCAAGAGCAGCATATATACAACTGAAGAAAACCTGGAACTCAAAACAACTCACTGTCAACCAACACCAAACTCAGAATTCTCAATACAAATGTCAAGACAATTCTATTGTATGGGGCGGAAACTTGCAGAACTAGGATGATGCCATCTTTTCTATACTTCTACAGACATATATTTCATATCGGAAAGGGTTTTTGTGGGGATTGTAGTAATTTAATGGTTGAGTTCGCTAGTCAATTAAAGCTAGACCACCATGAATAACCTAGAAGTACTGGAAGTCCGTTACGTTCTAGTATGGGAACCGTCATCAGTGTTTTATCCACGATCACGCATATAAGATTCGAACCCAGAACCTTCGGTCTTGCGCGCAAGCGATTAACCTCTACACCACTGAGCCAGCAAGTATCCAAAGGTGGTAATGTCTAACTTCAACCAATCCACAAAATTGCATCACCATCCACCATTGTCTCCAGTGAGTTACTATTTCACAGCAGACCCGTATGTGCGTACTGCTAAGAAGTCTCAAATAGGACGAAACGCGCGTCAAACTGAATTTCACTGCTAGCCACTATCCATCTTTGCTTAAATAGCTTGTGACTTAAGGCTATATCGAAGCAGTCCGTAAAGGATGCACATATGCCAACAACAGACTGATCAACTGCATTCCAAAATAACAATGAGAAGATACATGGTAAACAACACCAAGTGAATAAAACCTATCTAATTCTTTTCATTTTTTTTTCTTTCAAAATCAATATTCTTTCATAATAGAATTCTAATGATACTCATATATCATAATCATGAAAAAAGAAACTTACATGGGTGAATAATAACACACAATTATTTTGCCTGATTTAACTTCAGTTAGATCACTACAATATCCAGTTGAGCAACCTATAAATTCAGCGCTACCCCATACAATCTATAGAATTAAATAAAATCATTTTAATTAAAGAACTAATCATTCGATGATTAAAACACTTTTTATTGAAGAACGTTAGTTCATAAAAAGATTTTTTCTTCTAGTTCATATAGATTATGGGTACTTGAAGTTTGTACTGATGATTTTGTTCAAGAGAACGATGAAAGCTCCACGACCAAACCATCCAGTTTGTAGTGTGGGTTTATTATGTTGAGGTTATATTACTTTATTCTAAATTTCGTACAGCTCAATCTATTCATTCTACTTAAGTCATATTTTGACCTTGTCAGTTATTCGCTTATTACTCTTCACTGTTTTTATATGAGCGTATATGTGTGTGTACACTTCTTATCCCATCACTCATCACATATCTGTAACTTACTTTTGTGTAACTATGACTATTGATTAACGCTTGACCAAATGGAGTTGGCTTACCCGCCTTCTCCACTGCGGGCAGTTTCGCTTGTCTCCAATTTTATTCACTTCATACACAAAATATATGTATTCAAAGGTCCATTTTTGTTATTTGACTTATTTGATTCTGTTATTGACTAATGCGATTTAAGTCGATGATTATAGACGAGAATAGGCCACATATACATTTCGATAGCAATCATTCATACGATCTATTTGGAGTCAGATCTCGGGACACTAAAGTGGAGAGAACCTTTCGACAACATCGTCCGATCTAAATGACGACAAAAATAAAGGGCCCCACAGGCTCAAAGAAGAAAAAAACTCCATCGAAAAGGTTATGGGTACATATATGATTAGGAGTAACTATCTGTTATTGATTGATTTTCAATGATTTCTTATGTGAAAATATGTTTTGATGAAAATCAGTATCAAATCACATCAAGTTATCCATAGGTCACATCGTATTTCCAAAGAAAAGAGGAAACAAAAGTCAACGAATGAAAACAAAAAACGATTTCTTTTTCGTTCATTCACCACCTTACCTAAGGAGAAAATTCAAGGATATTTAGATCTTCCACAGGTTGAAATCATGACTCAGTTGAAGCTAGACCACCATTGAAAACCTGGAAGCACTGGACGGCCGTTTCGTCCCGGTATGGCACTGCTGAGGAGTCCCATACCAGGACGAAACGGCCGTCCAGTGCTTCCAGGTTTTCAATGGTGGTCTAGCTTCAACTGACTCATGATTTCAACCTGTGAAATTTCTAAAACTCTCCACAAAACCCATTCTGATATTTAGATCTCTTGGTAAGTACAATACGTGTTAACAACATAATCGAAATCCAATGGTCCATTTAAAGTATGTCGCGAATTATTTTACCCGGGAAAAGTTAACCATAGTGTTCCAATTCGGTGGTCAAATGGTAACGTGTTCTTCACAAGACCTAATTATCCTTAGTTCCATTCATTGATAAATTCTATGTATTGTAGCGGTTAATGAATCCCCAAAATAGATACCTCTGTTAGTGTTCGACATTGGATGCTGACCATATTAGTTTCATTGGAATCACCTAGCTGAAGATGCTCGGTCATGCATCCGCACCAGATCACGAATGGGAACGCCGTGCTCAATATCCCCTGAAATCGCTAGCCAGATTAGATCAGTCGATCCACGATATATTGATAACTTATCAAATATAACTTCGAACGTCCTCGCTTCTGTCTTTTGATTTCACTTGGTGAGTACGATTCATAGTAGAAGGTGTTACCGGTTAAAGCGTTGTCAAACTCCAAATGCCTGTGGCATCATCAGTATCCTCTGCCAATGAGTTCTATACTAGTGTTGTATCTGTTCATTTAAGTAACATTATAAACACTTTAGACAATTGTTGAGCTGATACAAGGGCTATTGTATGCTTTATTTGAAAATTTCTCAGTTATTCCCTAATAGATTTTACACTTTCATACTTCTATAAACACTTGTTACTTTGCGTAGCTTTATACACTGGAAAGATGTTTCAATCGATTTTTGTCGACAGTACGGTTAGCTTTCAATTTTAGTACCAGGAACTTAAAAATTTATTAATATGAGAATGACTTTCATCATATCAATTTGAAAAAGGGTTTGAGAATCAAAAGATACTTAGCATATAAGAAGAGATAGATGGTGGCTAGTTGTGCAATCCAGGATGCGTGTTTTGACCTATTTGGGACTCATCAGCAAACGGTACTAAGTTCGAGATTGAACATGAAATCTGGAGTTCATGTACATCCAGCTGACGAGTCCTAAATAGGACGAAACGCGCGTCAAACTAGATTCCTGTGCTAAACATCACCCATTTCTGCTAGAATGCTTATGACTGAAGGCAATCTTGAGACAATCCGCACAGGATGTACATATACCAATAAGAGACTGATCAATTACAGTTCTAAACATCAATGGGTTAATGCTTTTCATATGTTTCGTCCCTATTTAGAACTCTTTAACATTAAGGGACCATGATGCACTATGCGATCAGATACAGAAACTTCATGTCACAATTTAAAGACTTTCACATTCAGTTCACTCTTTTCAACTATCATTCATTGATATTTCTGCTTGATGATGATCAGCTTTAATTCATTAATTAGCTTAAAAGTTTATTATTAATTTACTTACCCTTTTATAATGGAGACAATCTTTAGGTACTTTGCATTTATTCTTTGTGTAATCATATAATTGATATTCATTGAACCAAGTTTCCATGGCACTTCATAATGAATTCGATTGATTATTTCTATGTAGACTTACTTTAAAACATTTAGATTATCAGCTGTATTTATACCAATTGTATCACGATATTCTTTTTCCACTTCAGCTTTTTTATATTCACTACTTAAATTACATGCTACTACTTGTCTATTAGCTAAATCTTCTAAATCATTATCCCAACTCTGTAAGTAAACAATATGAATATTTAAAAGGAATATAGTTAATTTAAATGAATAATCAGAAGGGGTTTTGTGGAGATTTTTAATAATTTTAATAGTTTAAATCATGAATCAGTCGAAGCTAGATCACCGTTGGAAACCTGGAAGCACTGGACAGCCGTTTCGTCCTATTATGGGACTTCTCAGTGACAGTATGCATCCACGATCCCGATCCCAGCGAAGTTGAAGTTGAACATTAATACCGGTTCAGTAGTCTAGTGGCTAAGCGCTCGCGCGCGAAACTGATAGGTCCTGAGTTCGAATCTCGCGGGGGGCGGGATCGTGGATGCGTGCTGTTGAGGAGTCTCATACTAGGACGAAACGGACGTCCAGTACTTCCAGGTTTTTTAATGGTGGTTTAGCTTCAATTAACTCATGATTTCAACTATTGAAATCAAATCAATTGGTTTTTTCTGTATACTATTAAACGATAGTTTTGTGTTAGAATAACTCCACCTGTAGCTCTTCTAGAGTTACTGCCCGTCTCAAGCCCGGGTAAAGAAGCAGGGTTGGGCATGGGATTAGCAACCTCACCTCGTAGAAAACAAACTCGATAAAAAAGAAAGCTAACTAGAAAAAACAATTTAAATCCTATGTGTTAGAATGACTAATTGTTCTATTGGTGAGATTATAATTTATGGACGAACTAATCAGATTTACGAGGACAGGTATTGAGTTTTGGCGTGAAATTCATTCATCTATTTGATTAAAGAGCGTTTTAATACTATAGCTGATATTAGTTCTTGATAAAAACCCTTAAATCTAATTCCTAATCTTAACTATCAACTGTCAATATTAATTCTAATTACTCAAATTGGTTTATAACGCTCATTTAGCCGTAGTATATAGATGAACATTCTTAAGGTCTTTTCAGCATCGCTTACAGGTCGTCTATAAATTATATTTTCACCGTTTTATATTAACTCTACATTGATGTCTTATCCATATGGTTGAAAGTTTTAATCACTGAATTCTCGTGGCGGAGGTGTTGGTTACAAAATCGAGAGGACGAAAACCGAATATTCGGTGCTTTAACCTGGACAGTGGATATGGACGATCCACCTAGGAAAGTTGGGAAACCCTGGTCCTAAACCAATGGTGTACATGGACTCCAGGGTCGTGAGGGAACAAATTGCGTATGAACCAGTTGTTGGTCACCGGCCAACATGTGACCTCGTCTCACAATTTTGCTCCACTTCCTTGTGGATCAGACCTTTATGTCGAATGCTCCGGGTGTGACCCCTTAAGAGAACCACCTGTTTCAGTTTGAGCACCCGGGCAGTATCACAGCCCACACACAAATCAAGTGACTTGTGTGGCGTATATGTATTTGGTGCCCATTTGTACCGATATTTATGTGTTCAAATAAATAAATAATAAATATTGTTGGCCAATGTTTTTGACAAGAAAAAATATAATATTAGTTCATACTTATCACTTTATGTTTGCATCAAGTTATACGTGTAACTATATTAAACGGTTAAGCTAATAGTGATATTATAATAAGCTAGTGACGTGGTGTGTGCTACTGATATTGGCAGATATAAGTAGTATATATCACTAATCAAAACTGCAATACCTGAAAGTAGAAGATTAAGAAGATCAAAGAAAAGAAAACAAGAACAGAGAATGATTGGTGTAGAAACGAAAGAACAATGTAGTCTGAGACAATTGATCGACCCTTTACAAGTGAATTATTTACTGTATAGTTCTCTCAGATTTCAGTAAGGGATTCTGTAATTTTGTGTCCAAATGCATCTGGTTGTCCCCCCACCCGCCTGGGTTCTTGTACACTGCAGAAAGATTGTAATTTGAACTATGAATATTTAGGAAATTAAAAGGTTTCTATTCAAAAAAATCTCTGTTATAGACGAGAGCATGTACGATTCCATTTGTGTTGAATATCTAAACATGTTTTTGTATGTCCAACGTTCTTTTTAAAGTAACTAATATAGCGAATAAGAACACAAGCGAAGGAACAACTAAATGTATTTGATAAGTCTTCTAATTGAACATTAGTTCCGATTTCTTAAACTCTTCTATTAACCTCCCCCTCCATGGCTGAATCTACAAAGCGGCTTGAACATGAGAAAAAAGGCGCGAAATACGGATGGAACGCTTTACTCCAATGTTCGTTCATGTACAGAGTATCTACTGTATTTATAGTATTCTGTATGGCCTTGGATTTACGGAAGTTTCTGGACCACTATTAAACATAATAGCAGTACAGACGATCATCCTATCAGAAACGCGACATGTGACGTGTCACTTTCTAAATGTTTCTGGCAAAACTTTTAATGAGTGCTGGATTGGATAAGATGTCTCTCAGCGTTTTCAGAGCCTTTTTTGACTTTTTTCGAGAGATTTTCTGGGTCTCCTTAACAATATTTGAATATAAAATCACAGAATAAATTACTAAAATCTGAAAAGCCATACATTGACTACTTCATTTGCAAAATGTCAATCCATCGTCTCAGACTTCAGTATTCTTTCTCTTTCACACCAATCATTCTCTGCTCTCGTTCTCATCCTCTTTTCTTTGATCTTCTCAACCTTCTGCCTTCAGGCATTCCACTCTCGAGTGGCGATACATACTACTTATATCTATCGATATCAGCAGCACACACCACAATAACAATAGTCAATTTTATGTCACATTATAAATACTTTCTAACGGTATTAAATAGTAGTGAGCAACTTGATATATTGCTTAATTTCTATGGTTCACTCAGCATAGTCTTTTGAGAATCTACTAACATAACGGTAGATAGTTAGTCAGAGAGCTGAAAACATTGTCCAACCATTTTAATCAATTAACTTTTATTCTCATCTACCAGTCAATAGGAAGGTTTTAAAGTTAGCTTTATCTACAAGATTTGGACAGATAAGTGTCATAACTAAATATGACAGCCATATTATAAGACAATGTAAGTCTAAGGATCATTGATTAATTTATGATCTTCATTTTTATTTAAGTGATTGTTTATCCTACAGACCATTCTGTCTTGATCGGTTATTTCATACATAGATCCAATTGTCAAATAATAAATCAACTGAATTGATCAGTAGTGTTGTTTAAGTGAAGTCCGATTAGTTTGTATTTGTTGACTGATTTTTTCATATCAGAAGGGTTTTTGTGGATATTATAGTCATTTCAATGGTTGAGATCATGAATCAATTAAAGCTAGTCCACCATGGAAAACCTGGAAGCACTGGACGACCGTTTCCTCCTATTGTGGGACTTCTCAGTGGCAGTGCGTATCCACGATCCCGCACCCCCGTGAGATTCGAACCCAGGACTGTTGAGGAGTCCCGTAATAAGGCTGATTTGTTGTTGAATAGGCGTCTTTGTTTAATTCATTAATATCAGTATTTTAATAAATCAAGAATAATAATAGTTTCCTTATAAATACTTATGTAATGAAAATCATATGAATAAGATCCATTATTACTACTACGACTGTTTCATTTTCATAATTTTGTGGAATAGTCTAGGTTTGTTACTCTTTGAATAAGTTGTAGTATAAACAAATGATAATCTGAAAAAAAGTCACTGTTTGACAATTTGCACTATTTTTATACACTACTTCTTTAGAAGTGCTAACTTGGAATCCTGAAGGGAGACGAAAAAGAGGAAGGTCAAAGAACACAATACATCGGGAATTGGAAGCAGAAAAGAAAAGGATCAATAGCAGTTGGAAACAACTAGAAAGAATTGACCATGATAGAGTTGAATGGAAAATAACGATAAGCGGCTGATGCTCTTAGACGAGGGGTTACAGGCGTAAATTAGTAAGTATTAAGAGCAGAATGTACGATGCTATTGACATGAAAATTAACTGAAAACTTAGTATAATTGAGCGCTGTATTTAATACAACATCTTCACGCCATTCATCTGATGGTAAGTTGTCTTCAAGCACAGTTTCTCGAAATACAGAAGTCATGTTTTTTTTAAAAAAAATTAAGGATGAAGGTTCAACTTAAATCAACAGTGAGTGAAAGTTCTATGAGATGTTATCAGCTATATTCAAATTTCGATACATCATATGAGGTTAAATAGGTCCGACGATCAATCCTGGTGAGTGATTCATGCTCCTTCTTGAGGACTAACAGGCATAAGTAATTAAGTCGTTTAGGATTTATCAGTTAAAAAATGTTTATTATATGACTAACATCAAATATATTGGCCAGTAAAAATTAGATAGTAGATTTCATTGAGACCTTCTTATTTTCAATAGTTGAGATCATGGGTTAATTGATGCTAGACCACCATGGAAAACATGGAGGTTCTGGACTGTCTTTTAGTTCTGTTGTGGGACTCCCCAGCATTTCATATCCATGAACCCGTCTAGCGAGATTAGGACCCAGGATTTACCGGTCTCGCGGGTGTACGCCTAACCTCTAGACCACTGAGCCGGCATCCAGTGGTGTTGATGTCTAACTCCAACTAATCCACGAAATTGGGCGACACATCCACCATCATCTTCTGAGAGTCATTACTTCACAACAGACCTTGTTGAACTCCATTGGTCACTGCTTCTCACTAACACTCCAGGAAATAACTCTTGAAGCCAGTAACTAGTGAGCATATGTTGATTAATATCACAAGGGGGTTTTTTGCGAATAATTTAGTGATTTCAACAGTTGATATTATGAGTCAATTGAAGTTCGAAGCTTAAAATTTTGAATCTTGCGAAGCAGGATCATGGATGCGTACTACTGAGGAGTCCCACAATAGAACAGAACAGTTGTCCAATGCTTCCAAGTTTTCCATATTGATCTAACTTCAACTGACTTATGATCTCAACTATTCAATTGACTAATAATATCCACAATAACTCCTTCTAAAACTTCTCATTTATTGATTAAAAAGAAAAGAAGAAAGAAAACATTCATTTCATCATGAATTTTCACTTACTAATGCTTCTTCTGAATAAATTGGTTTAGGTTGTTCAGGAACTTTACATTTTAATAATAATCTCCTATAATCTACATGTTTATTATATAAAGTCCTTTCATCGTGTGTTGTCTGGGTATTGCTACATAAAATGTACAATACATACATTAAACTACTTTGAATTAGAAGTTTTATCATGAAAAAATTAAGAAGAAACACTAAAAAAAAACTTTTGAGAAAAGAAAAAAGAAATTCTTGGTTTATATTTGTTTTAATCATTAAAATAAAAATAGGGCGAGACTATAATCTATGAACGAACCAATCAGATTTGAAGTAATAGATCTTGAATTTTTGCGCGAAATTCATTTATCCATTTGGGTTAAAGAGCATTTTTCTGCATTCATAGCTGATATTAGTTGATGATGAAAACTTCTCAAATCTAATTTCTAACCCTTAATTGATCATCAATGATAAATCATAATTCGATTTCTTCATACTAATTTATAACTTTTATTTGGTATATGTGCATACTGTGCGGATTGTTTTGATATAGTTCTAAATCACAAGCGTTTTGTAAGCAATGACAGATAGTGGCTAGCAATGGGATCCAGAACGCGCGTTTCGTCTTATTTGGGACTTGTCAGCTGGATGTATCTACATCTCAGAGTCCTGGATTCCATTGCTAGCCGCTATCCATCATTGATTTATTTGGTTTAAGTTATTAGATGAACAATTTCAAAGTCAGTGTTTAGCTTTACTTAAAGATTGTTCACATAAATTATAGTCTCACCCAAAATACATTGGGTGTGTTTATGATGATGTTATAATGTGCATAGAATTAATGATTAGGTTCAATGTATTAAAGTTGTAATAGAAAACTATTCACCTATTGAAATGTTAATTATTATTATTTAAAACAAATTGAATAGATTCTGATTGTTTGTTTAAATTAGTTTTAACAAAAAAAAACAAACAACAAACTATTTAAATAAATCTATTTTTTTGATGTGTGTGCTACTGATGTCGATCGATATATAAGTAGTATAAATCATGAATTAAAAGTGAAATGCCTAAAGGTAGGAGGTTAAGAAGATCAATTAGAAGAAAACAAGAATAGAGAATGGTTGATGTGGAAACGAAAGAACACTGAAATCTCAGACAATTAATTGACATATTGTAAATGAATTATTTATTGTATGGTTCTCAGATTTTAATAAAAGATTCTGCAATTTGTATGTTGAAATACATTTGTTCGTACCCATTTGTATTTTCGATCACTAAATACTAGCTAAGTGATAGCAATATAAGCACAATATTGATTAATTTACCTCCAAATGCCCTGGTATGGCCGAGAGTGGGGTGGGCTCGCCCCCCCTCTCGAGATGCTCTCACATGGCCACGCGTATACAGCCTCTGCCAGGGAAGTCCTACTCACTGCCTTCTCGCACCACGGGTGTTGTTTACAAAATTGAAAGAACGAAAAGCGAATGTCCGGTGCTTTAACCGGATTCCAAACCAATGCTGCACATCGGCTCCAGTATCCTGAAAGAACAAATTGCGTATGAACTAATTGTTGATCACCTACTACCATTAGACTGCATCTCCTCACGATGCTCCACTGCCTCGTGGGTCAAACCTTTAGGTCAAAGGCTCGGGGTGTGGCCCCCTAAGAAAACGACTTGCTTCTGTTTGGGAACCCGGGCAGTATCACAGCCCACACACACAAATATGGTGTGGCGCATATCTGTTTGGTGCCCTCTTGTACCAATATTTATGTGTTCAAATAAATAATAAACAAATAAAAATTGAATAATTTAACTCAGTAGTTATAGGACTAAGTATTCACAGCGATTATTGTACTCTTCTTCTGTATAGATTTCATTCGGTTATCTGGTCCAGAATTATATATGGAACAAATTCTGTTTTACAATGTTGCTACGACGACATAATTTATTTTATTACATTATTGGAACTGAATGGTAAATTGACAAAAAAACCGGATAAATAGTTAACCGATTAAAAACATATAGATAATCATCATATGCTCACTAGTGACGATCTCCAAGAAGTATTTCCTGAAGTCCTAGTGAGAAGCAGTGACCAGTGGAGTTCAACCGGATCTATTGTGTTATAGTAATTCACTGATGACGATGGCGGATATACCACTGGATTTCGTGGATTCGCTGAAGTTAGACATTAACACTACTAGATACCGTCCGGTTCAGTGCCCTAGTGGTTAAACGTTCTAGCGCAAGATTGAAGGCCCTGGGTTCGAATCCTGAGAGCGGGATCGTGGATGCGCACTGCTGAGGGTTCACACGATAGGACGAAACGGTCTTCTAGTGCTTCCAGTGTTTAAATGGTGCTTTGCCATCAATCGGTTCAAGATCTCAATCAATAACTTAATGATCTCCACAACCATACAGTAATATTCTGACTTAAAATCTTTCTTGATATAATATATATATATATATATATGCTCGTTTGGTTTTCAATGACCAATACTATAGTTTCTAGATTAGCTGTAAGCAGTTGAAGTGAATTCATCAGATGAAAAAAATGATGCTGTAGTGAACGAGAACACAAGTGAGAACAATTAACTGCGCTTGAACATAAAATTACAGAATATTTTAGTAAAACCTGAGAACCATACAGTAAACACTTCATTTGTAAAATGTCAATCAATCGTCTCAGACTTCACTGTTCCTTCATTTCCACAGCAATCATTCCCTGTTCTCTTTCTCTTTTCTTTGATCTTCTTAACTTTCTGCCTCCAGACATTTCACTTTCGATTGATGATACATACTACTTATATCTGTTGATATCAGTGCCATACACCACAATATAGATATTCAAAAATAAAGTAGATTGATATTATTGTTCATCGATAACATTGAGCCAATTTTATGGTGAACGATGTCTGTGGAAATGAATTATATAAGCAATTTCAGAAGGCGATCCCTCCAGATGCCCTGCTACAGCCGACGGTGGGGAGAGTCAGCTCTCCCTCTCCAAATGCTATGACATGAATACATGTATACAGCCATTACCAGCGAACTCCTATTCACTGCCTTCTCGTGGCATTACTGTTGATTACGAAATTGTGAGGACAAAAAGCGAATGTCCGGCGCTTTAGCCAGGTTTGTGGATAAGGAGGATCCAATTAGGGGAGTTGGAAAACCCTCATTCCAAACCAATGATGCACATGGGCTGACTCAAGCATCCCGAGGGAACAAATAGCGTATGAACCAATTTTTGGTCACCGGCTACCATGGGACTGCATTTCCTAACGATGCTCCACTGCCTTGTGGGCCAGACCTTTAAATCAGAAGCTCGGGATGTGGCCTCCTAAGAAAACGACTTGCTTCTGTTTGGGAACCCGGACAGTATCACAGCCCACACACAAATCAAGTGACTTGTGTGGCGTATATATATTCGGTGCCCGTTTGTACCAATATTTGTGTGTTCAAATAAATAAATGTATTGAAAATTGATTGAGGTTGAAATATGATTCAGTCTATTTTAACTGAATAGCCCAAATCTATTATATTCATCACATGATCTGACTTAATTATTCTTCACCTAATCGGTTACTAACCAATATCACATAGTCTGTTTCTTAATAATAAACTGAACATTACAAATGAAAATTTTCATTTATTCACATAGATGACGAATCTTTTAGACGATTATATTTAGAGTGACTTAAAAGAAGCGCTTTATTTCTTTCATTAATGAGTAAAGCTTAGTGCGAATTTGATATTTAACCCTTTACAGTATTTATATAGAACACATTGAATCATGAATTCTGTATGATTTATAACATAATCACTGTTTTAATATTAACTATATTCAATAAAATAATGAATTAATTTAGAAAGAATAGTTATAATTATTACACATTTGTTTCATTGTGAAATTCATATATCGATTAAAACTAGTTCATCATCTAAAATGTGAAAATACTAGACGATCATTTCATCCTAATATGGAACTTCTTAGCAATGTACATCCATGATTCCGTTCGTGCGATAGTGATTGTGGCTG